ACAATAATATATATATATATATATATATATATATATATATATGAGCATAAAAAATCGAATCTATAAGAATAATATATATGTACGTGATGGATTTTATTGGTCTGTGTCTGCTGCAAACGAACACCACGTGTTTCTTTGGAGGACTTACTTTTCTTCCTCCTCCCGTCCTCTCCGCCACTTCAAGAAAACGCACGTGATTCTTGACCCGTCCTCACTCTTTCTCCGTCAACTTCCCTCTCACCCACCACAAGATGATAATGCACAGCGACTATAAGGCAAAAGCCTAAGAGTAAAGAGGAAGGAAGGAGTTCAGCAGGAGAAGGTAGATGGCAGGGCAGAAGATGGGAAGCAAGGGGGAGAAGACCAACTTCTCTCTCGCCTGCAGGCTCTTGAGCCAGTACCTGAAGGAGAAGCGCGGCGTCGGTGGGCTGGGGCTTGAGATGGCCCCCCCTAAGCCTCTTGATCAACAAGCTCAAGGTGTGTTTCTATCAGATTCGTTTGGTGAAGTTAGATCCTTCCCTTCCAAGTTATATTAAGATGTATTATGCTTTTAGCCTATGTTATGGTGTTTGTTGTCGGTTCTACGTGTTCATCAGTTCTATTTCTTTCAGAATATTGGAATGAATCACATGCTTTCCTCTCTTTTTTTCCCCCTCTTATTTGTTTGATTTAGATTCTTTTTTGTCCTCAAGATTTCCTTAAATTAAACAGAATTCTTAGCATCTGTCTCTTTATATTTTTGTTCAGATCAATCTCGGGCACCCGTGACGATGAGCCTTCTTCCAGGGCTGGATGTGCCAGGAGATGATAGAGCTGAGAACGATCATGAAAAGAACCCCACAAAATCCATGGATCTTCTTCCTCGGCTCTCTGGTTTTGATTCCTGTTTTCTGCCCGAGGAGGAGGAATCTGTCAAGACCGCAGAAACCCAGTAAGGCTTTGCTGCTCGAGTTGATTCATGATCAGCTCCAACCTTGCATGCAAGACTTGATGTACACACACTGATGATACTTGTCAGGAAGATGGAGAAGAGTCAACTGACTATCTTCTACGGTGGAAAGGTTCTGGTCTTCGATAAATTTCCGGCCGACAAGGCCATGGATCTGATGGGGATGGCAACAAACGAGAGCATGGCAGCTCAGAGTCATAGTTTCTCCGAACCTCTCACCTCCACGCCCGGAGCTGATAGCTCTTCCGGCAAGCTGAAGGCTAATACATCTGGTAATCAATCACCCTTCACAAAGTAATAGCCAGTCCCAGTCCAAGAAAGAAATAACAATGCATACTGACACGGATTAATCGTTTGGTGGACGACAGATATGCCCATCCCAAGAAGAAACTCCCTCCGCCGGTTCCTGGAGAAGAGGAAGGACCGGTGTGTACTTCTTGCCTCTGAATCTCCATTACATATGCGCCTATCTTTGATATTACCAGAGCTCAAGACTCGATGATGCTCTCTCTTTGCTGAAAACTTTTCAGCGTCAACGCCAAGGCACCATATCAAGTCGATGGTTCTTCGGAGGTCAAGCCAGAGTGTCCCGGGTCTGATTGGCTCAACCTAGGGAGACAAGTTTCGCAGCCACAGCACAGTTCAGCGAGCGGCAAGTAGCAGAAATATCTGACACGCGTCTCTGCTTGCTTGCGTGCTTCCTTCATCTACAGAACTTAACCATGAGATCTGAATAGCTCTTTGTATTTGCTTAGTCTCCATCGCAAGAACATATATATATTTCCAACAACCTGTCAGGAATTGTCCTCATCTGACATGTAGAAAGATTGAAATATGAGCAGAGGCGTAATATTTAGAATCTTATTCATAGAATTTTGTCGTGGGAGGGCCATGATTCCTCATCAAGATCATGCGAGTCGATGATACTTGTGGCGCAAAAGCCAAGCTGTTCGAAGCAATTGCCATCCGGTCCTGGTCTTGACTTCCTTCCCAAGATCATGGCAGTATTCCCGGATGCTTCTTGAAGAAGAAGACCCAACTTGGAAGTCACTCTTCGATGGTGGAAGCCACAGGGCCACGGAGCCTTATCGTCACGTGTTCCATCAGGACTTACTGAAGCCGTCTCCTCTTCACCACACGCTGTTCGAAGGCCATTAGATTGGATTGCTGTCGTCTCACGTCTTGTGAATGTGAGAGTTGTGTAATTCCCGTGAGTCATAGGACCACAACGAAACACTCTCATATGCCACCAAAACAATGTGCCACTTCCATCCAAAGAAGTCTTGTCACCTCAATTCTTAATGGTGATATACCAGAAAGCTGATGCCTGTGTGGTGTGTTCGATGTTGATCATGTAGTTGAAGAAGGCCAATATAGTTGTAATTTTGACTAGGTTTTCCAAGGAGTTCTTAATAACAATGATCCAAACAACATGTTGGTGCCCGAAACAATGAGAGAATGATTCAATGCTAATTGTAACACACTATCTGTATGTATGATGAAGTTCTAAGATGTGTTTTAGCCTTAGGAGGAAATCATGTTTTGAGTGCCAATAACTTTAGTCTGACAATCCTATTTATCTCAAATTGAAGCTTAGGACAGCAATTGCAGCTGAGAAACTCAAAACCATTTAGGAGAAATTAGAACTAAGAATGTTCATGTTGGGAAATTTTGACAGACTAATCTTACAGAATATTATGTCTGGTAAATAACTTGCATAAATATCTTGGTTTCAATTCAAACATGGGTTTGATTCACACTCCATATTCTCAATTAGATTAGCTCTACATAGATAATCTTGGGATATACAATCCCAGGTAAAATCGATTTAGAATTATGAGATCCTTTTCTATTAGATTGGAAGGATTAGATTGTTTTGGGAGCCATCAAGCTTATGCAAGAATGGCTAAGAGAAGAAAAAGAACTTAGAGATTAGGAAAATACCCTCCTTTTTTATTAGATCTCATAGTTTGCATCTTTGTTTGGGTCACATTACATTCAAGGATATGGTCCCCAAAAATTGGCTAGCTAAAAGAGGTAGAACTATTGATTGGTTTGCTTCCTTATGGCTAGGCTAAAAGTCAGATTAATTATGTTGCATTTTGTCATGTTATGTTAGTGGTGCATATAATAATGGGAAGTAATTATTGATGAATTAATATATAAGATAGTATATAGAACACTATCTTCTCAAAATGTAATATTCTTAATGTAGCATATATTTAAGTTGACAAATAAATAAATATACAACAAGTAGTAATTATATTTGCTCGTAAAAATGCTAAATTTATGCATATTTCAAAAATCACTAAAACACACTCTTTTTTTATTTTTGTATAAACTTAGGCCGAAAAATATTTAAATGGAAGTCGAGTGCATGAAGTGTCAATTATCAATATAATAAATTTATGCATTCGATTTATTTTTCCATTATCTTATTTTGTTGGGACTTTGAGTCATGCATTCAATTATTTTTTCTTGAATGAGTATTAGACTTGTTTCTTCTTTCAATAATTAATATCAGAGTCAAAATCTTTGATACGAGTATACTCGATCAAAGGATTTTTTTTTTTCGAAAGATAAATAAAGAAAATAAAATATGATCGTAACATCATATTATCAATAATCAATATTTTTACCAATTAACTTAGTTATTATTTTTATCAAGTTCGCATATGAAAAATTAAAATCTTATTCGACATATTTTTACGTCTTAAACTTAAGTCTATTTATGATCCACCAGTGGATTGGAAACTTCAGATACTAACTATTTTTATAATTTATCATAAAATTTGAAGTTATGTTTATTTTTATTTTTTTTTTAAATAAAAATAAAAACTCCTCAAAAATTATAAGATGAGAATTCAAATTCTTCTGTGATTCTTCATCAACTTTCCCGGAAACACAACACCTTCACATAATCTCTCTAGATTTCTGGTGCCTCTGTCCATCACATAGGACAGTGATCTCCCTCTTTGGCCACTCTTTATCTGTTTCTTTGTCCTCCCGGTCTTCGCCTCTCCCACTCAAGAAAAAGAGGAACGCGAAACTTCTGCCCAGCGTCAAACCTCCGGATGTCGCCGTCGTCCTCTCTTCTCGCGAGCGATACGAGTTATGGAAGGATTAGATCGTCGGCTACCGCATCTCTTCTTCACCACTTCACACAAAAAGCTGCGGCAGCTGACACAGCTCTCTCACATACTCTCAGTCCCCTCTTTTATGCGCAAGTGGTCCACAATGTCTACGGCACTGCGTGACATTTTCCATGCGAAAAATGTGCTCATGTAATCTCCATGATCAGATCTCTTTATTTATTCCCATCAGAACGCAATTGTTTCTCTTTTTCTCTGCAACTTCTTTTTCATTTCATTCTCTTGATAACATCAACAAGAATTTAATTATCATTCGAATTTATTTTTTGTTCTCTATTTACTTCGAGGAGATACATCGGAGATTGAGTTACAATTCTCAGACAGCCGTCAGAAACATTCCTCGGAAGCACCAGAAAAAATAATAGCTCGCCGAGCTCGGCACTCTCCTCTGTAGGGAAAATGAAAAAAGGTAATAAATAAATGTAAATAAATAAATTTATGAATCAGTTAATATGATGTATATATATATATTAGGCGCCACGTAGGATCGTTTCATGGTGTCATCGTTCAGAAGCTCCAGAGAAAGGAATTGGACCCGAAGTCGACGCCGCCGTGGTCGTCCGCCACGTCCAGCGGAGTCGCTGGCACCGACGAGGAGAAGTCGTACATGAAGTCGTCGAACGGGGCCGGGAAATCGCCGTCGACCGTCAGTGGAGCCACCAGCTGCGGGTCCATGAACGACCAATCGAGTGCGTCGTCGCTCCCCGCCGTGAACCCGTCCGAGGCCGGGGAGCTCGCGGCCGGAGAGTCAACTGGAGTCGGCGGTTGGGTCGGCCCAGGGGCCGCGGCGGCGTGGCGGGCTGCGGCGGCCTGGATCTGCTGGTGGGTGAGGCGCCACGCGCCGCCGGTGATCTGGGGCGGGGGGGAGTCGGGGAAGTTGAGCCGGGCGCGGCGGCCGCGGAGGCAGACTGCGGCAGCGTCGAAGGCACGGGCGGCCTTCTCGGGCGATTCGTAAGACCCGAGCCAGATCCGCTCGCGGCTGTTGGGGAGCCGGATCTCCGACACCCACCGCCCCCACTTCCGCCGCCGCACCCCCTTGTACCGCTTCGCCCCCGCTGATCCGCTGCCTTCACGCTCCGTCATCTCCGCTTCGGTCACGCGCTCTCTCAACCCCCGCTCTCTCTCTGTCTCTCTTCCTCGCGCTACAATGTTCTGTCATGCACAGCCAACCCGGGCGCCCTATATATCATATATCATGGCGGCGAGGCGGGCGGCGGCGGGCGGGCCCCGCTCGGGGTGGTGGGGGCTTCGAGTGGAAGCCAAGTGGCCGCGGTGGTGTGAGAGAGAGAAAGAACGTTCGAGTGAGGCGCACGAGGGTCGATCAGGAAACGATGAGCACGTGCGTTTTACGACGAAACACGCGTCGGTCATCGACCCCAATCCCCCCATCGCTCACCTTCCTCGGATGGTGACGGAGGGTCCCACTCAGACGTCGTTTCCGTGCGGGGCGGTGATGATTCGGGCCGGATAGGGTGGAGGGAGGGTTCGCCGGGAGCTTCGACCGGGCTTCCTTTTAACGTCATGCGTTTCGGTCCTCCGCCGATAGCCGGTCATTCCTGTCAGCTGCGAACGGCGTGTCCACTGCAGGCTGGAGAGTGAACGGAGGAGGCAATGGCGGCTCGAGTGTGAAAGCTGCACACCCCGGCTGGACCATTCACCAGAGGAGGATGGAACCCAGCGAAGAGTGACCGGAGGCGGAGATGGCCGCTCTGAGTGTGAAGGCCGCATCGTTTGAAGGTGACCGATCGCATACCATTGGGTGCGACCAAATTGGATGGGGATGGATGGAGATGTGATCTTGAATGGACGGACTGCAACTAAAGTTCATGTCCAGTGCATTTTAAATGGATTTTAATGAAATATCGTATCTTGTGATTCTTCTTATTTTCACCAACAAAATCCAATCTTTTGATTGAGGTGAATCGAGCACAAGATATTCCATCCCTTTCATCATCCAAAGTCCACTTCGGTAGTCCTCGTTCTCAGCTCGGCAAATGGGCTGTATACCCGAAGATCTCAGGAGGCGACTCTACGCAATCGTGGGTCCCGCGTGGGCCTCCGCCTGTGCTCGCAAGCCTCAAAGGGGGGTGCGAAACCGGGTTGGCGCCGCTTGTTCAGGAGCAGTGCCGGAAAAAATAGATGGACTTGCACCATTTCAGAGTCACACATGCATGCATGCATGCATGCATGCCATCCTCATGGTGCATTGAACCCACTCGTCACTTTAATTCGGTCCTGACCGCGGCTACATTTCTTGAGTGCGGTGCGACGCGTTCATGCATCCAATGGAGTGTCCAATGCCGTGGGAAATCCAATTCACTAGTGGAATATTTGCATGCGAGTGAGCAGATTGTTCTCCGGTGATCCGCTCCTCAAACTCACCAGAGGAGACGGAATCACGATAATTTTAATATATACATATATATGATTGATTGGTGTAAAAATATTTATGATTGAGCTTATGATCGGTGAATAAAGGTTTCGAGCTTCATTAAATTATATTTAGTTAGATACTAATATGTTATTAGTTTTTATTATATTATCACCGACTTAATTGATTTTACTTAAACCGTAGATGTCTTTACTTAGTTTGTCTACAAAGAGTTCATCTTTTCGAAATCTTCTATGATCTTTTAATGATTTACTAAAATAAATACAGGTTAGAAAAAGTGTTTAATTCGAATATATAAATAATTATTTTAGTAAATATTTGATAGGTAATGTAAATTATAAAAATAAATTTCTCGGGCTTTAAACAGTTACATGACAAAGGGTTTATAAGTGCCGATACAATATTACTATGAAATAAGACAGCAAATCAATCATAGATACTACTTTAAAGACTCGTCCAATTTTATACCACTCGAGTAGCTCCTAAGTATTATACTGCCTGACATTTTGTACTACTTTGTGGAGTTAGAAAATCCACAAGATGGTTACTCGGATGATATATTTTTAGATAATTTTATCTTTGTACAATGATTATATATAACCTATATTTATAAACTTGAAACAATCATAAGAGTCAACCAAACTAGATAGCCAAACTTACTATAAGTGCTCTACATAAAGCATTAAAAAACTTAGCATTACATCAAATATTTCATTTATAACTTTATTTATGATGAGATAAGAATAAAGATGTATAATTTATTTGATATTTATCGGATGAAAGGGAATAAAATATTTTGTTGGATGTAAAAAATATTTTTTTATTAAAATAACTATTGAAGATGTTTTGTAAGTGTAGTGTTTTATAAGACGGGGAAAGATAAATATATCTTTTATCTTTAAAAGAATTTTTTTGTTGTTCCTAATCAAAATCCTCAACATCTTTCTCTATTTTTGAACAAAATTGATCATATATGGAAGATATAGATTTACTTTTCTTACTAATTTCTATACAGTTAATCAAATCAAAAGGTATTCAATATCATTCAGATTGTTTAATCTTTTCCTTCATATGTTATAGATCGTGTTTCAATAGAATTTTTTAATGTAAATATTAAATGATAAAGAATGATATTTTGAGTGTAGCACCTTACAATCAAATATCAAAGTATTTATTAACTAAATACTTTTTATGTAAATATCATTTATATCATGTAGATCGAATAATTATTAGAATAAAATCATATATAACTTTTTTAGAGGGCTAAAATCTCATGTGATATATTCAAAAATCAAATATCCAAATCATTAGTCTTGCTTAATATTTTTTGGTATATATATATATATATATAATTAATTTTTTTATATGACAGCAGTTTATAGATGGCGAGGGGGACAGACCCATATATATAATATAAATGATTAGTTCTGGAATAAGATAGAGATTATGACATAACACCAACATCTCTCTCTGTATAATATACGTATTATGAGTATATCAGTAGAATTACATACGAGCATTTATATCAATCCATCACATCCAAGTCAATCATGCATGAAGATAATATTACCGACCAAGTCATACCACACACACAAATGAAAGCTTTTGGATGGACCTTGAGGAACACAAACCTTTGTCTTTTCCTTTAGCTCCGGACTGTCACCTGCATGGGTGGCCGCATGGTCCAATAAATCATTGCATCTTGCCTCCATCCATTATTCATGCGTGCAGGTCGGATCATCTACAGTAAGGTGGAGCTGTTGCATTTTTAGGGCATGTCTTCTGTCATACAATAATACGACCATGGTCTCTTCTTCTTAAGGCGTCTTCTGTTGCTGCTGAAACATGAGAGAGAGAGAGAGAGAGAGAGAGAGAGAGAGAAGAAGAAGAAGAAGAAGAACGCTACTCAATAATAAATGATTACTTAAGTAGAACAAATTAAGAACCGATAGACATGTCTTTACAGAACTGAAGCGAGTAATACATGAAAACTGCATGAATGTATCATTAACTAAATCATTATTGTTTAGCTTATAATGATAAGTAATTATAAACTGTACATGCTCTAAAACTTATATAATGGAATGGTCAAAAATAGATGTTTAAATATATTTATGTATACACACATAACACACAACAACGACAGAGATAAAATTCAACACATTACTTTCAAATTTTTGCCATGAAAAAGATCTTTGATAATTTATTTTCGACATAATATATTTAATTTAGAGTATAAAGTAGGCATGGAGCATACATACATGCCTTGGAACTTAAGATGAGATGAGGAAGGGGGCAAGAAATCTCCTACTCGACAAGGGATGAAGCATGTGCTAAATGCGGAGCTTAGATGACCAAAGTTAGGTGAGCATAATTGAGATTGGTGGTGTCACAATTGTAAGATGGAAAACATGCTGAATAGAGAGTCTTCTATCGTAGTTGCGTGAATGCTTCACATAACGGAATGAGATGTCCTCGACATGAATGGATGTGCATGAACATTAATGCGACTAGAATGGGCAACGATGTCCAATGGAGCTTAGTCTTTAACCTCCATCTATTTTCCAATTTGTATCGATCCAAATCTAATGGATACTTAAGTCGATTAAAAAATTGGAAGAATTTTCTAAGGTTGGAATCTTTGAAAGTTGCGAGAATAGGATTGCTTGTAATTGCAATCATAACGAATAAAAGAAACTTGTTGATTGATTACACTCAATCACAGATGTTAGAGGACCATAATGTTGTTAAGATGTCTCACCCATCAAACATGGATAGACTGATCCCCTCTTAAATCTCAACCTACGGTGTTACCGGTAATCGTGGACATATGTTGATATATAGTTGCTATCAAATATTCTCCCCTATCAAAGTATATTTGTGATATCTTACACCTCTGATGCAAAACTTATTTATCTTTTTTTTTTTTAATTTATATTAATTTAACTCATTGACACCGGAGGTCAACGGTAGAGCGCAACGTCCTTGTGCCTACATGCGCTACCTCGACTTTCTTTGAAGCTAACACCTTATCGCTCGACTCGATGAACGACTCGCTCTGAGCCCAGTTGTGATTAGCGAATCGACGCCTAAATGAGGTTCAAAGGGAACTCCATAAATCCAATGAGGACCTCGAGGAAAGTACCTTGATCGAGTCTCTCTTTGCCCAAAAAATTCAGGACAAGCCTATCCCCCTCAACTTTCACCTCATAACACTGGAGGCCTATGATGGTGGCTCCAATCCAGCGGAGCATGTCGCCACCTTCCGAGCCCATATGGCCCTATATAACACTTCCAATGCCCTGATGTGTCGCGCATTTCCTACCACCCTCCAAGGCCCGGCTTGGATGTGGTACAGTTGATTGAGGCTATCATCGATCTCATCTTTTGATCAGCTTGCAAGGGAACTTAAGCTTCACTTCTTCGCCAGCACGTGACCTAAACCATCGGCGACCATGATCCTCAGGCTAAAGCAAAAAGAGGATGAATCTCTCTCCCTCTTCGTCGCCCGCTTTGCTACTGAGATTCGAGGGGTTCCAGATGCCCACCCATATTTGGTTATGCAAGTGTTCTTAACGGGCCTAGGACCTTCAAGGTTCTTTTGGTCGCTGGTCGAGAGACTACCAATGACCATTCCCGAGATGCTCCAACAGGCTAACCAGTATGTTGCTACAGAGACACTAGTGGCAAGAAAGAGCGAGGAGTCGCACAAGAGACCCCACTAAGAGCTACCCATGTGAGCAGATCAGAGAAAGAAGAAGGCCCGCCACGGCAAGCCCAGGAGAAGAGCCCAAGATGTGTAGATCAAAAAAAAAAAAAAAAAAAAGAGAGGTGTTTCTCAAGATGTTTAGCCAATCCTCGAGCTACGTTGCTCGGCCAGTTCAGTCCCCAGTGCTTAAGTAGTGTTGCTCGGCCAGTCATATACAATCAGTCTCTGCTCAGTTTATTCAATATCCGAGCAGCTACTCGACCAAACATGGGCCAAGTAGTGTTACTCGACCAAGCCAATGCTCGAGCTACGTTGCTCGGCCAGTCCAGTCCCCAGTGCCCGAGTAATGTTGCTCAACTAGTCATGTGCAATCAGTCTATGCTCAGTTCATTCAATGTCCGAGCAGCTGCTTGGCCAAACATGGGCCCATGTGAGCAGATTAGGGAAAGAAGAAGGCTTGCCATGGCAAGGCCATAAGAAGAGCCCAAGATGTGCGGATCAAACATGGGCACTACTCGGGCCTATGTTTGGCCGAGCAGCTGCTCGGTCAAACATGGGCACAAGTAGTGTTGCTTGGCTAAGCCAATGCTCGAGCTACATTGCTCAGCCAGTCCAGTCCCAATGTCTGAGTAATGTTGCTCAGCCAATCATGTGCAATCAGTCTCTACTTAGTACATTCAATGTCCGAGCAGCTGCTCGACCAAACATGGGCCCGAGTAGTGTTGCTTGGCCAAGCCAATGCTCGAGCAGTGCCGCTTTAGCAGCGTAGTTTAGTTCAGTCATGTGCAGCAAATCATTGCTCGGTTCAATCGAGATCCGAGCAGCTACTCAACCAAACATGGGCTCAAGTGATGCTGCTCAATCAAGCCAGTGCTTGACCAGCACAGCTCGGTTCAGTGATGTGCAGCAAGTCGCTTCTCGATTCTGTCAAGATTCTAGCAATCGCTCAGCCAAACATGGGCCCGAGTGATGCTGCTCGGCTAAACAATGCACGAGCCACACCTCACGGCCAATCCAATGTCTGAGTCATGTCTCAGCCAGTCTCGCCCCCAAGTAGTGTAGCTCGACTAATCCAATGCCTAAACCTTGCCTCGAGGCTATTTTGATGCTCGAGCCACGCCTCGTGGCCAGTCCAATGTCTGAGTCATGTCTCAGCCAGTCTTGCCCCCAAGCAGTGTAGGTCGGTCAATCCAACGCCCGAGTAGTGCATCGTCCACGTGGACCCAAGCAGACAGACACGACGATGCAGACGTAGAACCTCAAGTACGATGTGGCGCACAACACACATGTGGCGGGCAGCTTCTTGCCGCCCCCTCCATACGAACAACATCATCACGGTATAGCCATCTCGGAAAGCTCAGGGCGGCGCCGATCCATGCAAGTTAGTCGACGCTTGTACAGAAGCTTAAGTCGACTACCCGAGGAGCTAGCCGTAGTAAATTGACCCCGTACGACCAACTCATCCTCACAAGTATAAAAGCTAACCCTCCCTAATCAGGAGGGGGAGGCATTTCGAACTCTCAACTCTCTCATACATACTATTGACTTGAGCTTCATAGGGGTTGAGTCGGAAAATCCCCCTCCCAACCTCGACCTGTGTGCAGGAGCCCAACGACGGAGAAGCAGGCCACTCGCCAAGAGAGAAGACCATGCTCGAACTCGACCCGACCCGACCCGACACTCGTCCTAACCAACCGAGTATCCACGTGAGCGACCTTGTACATCGAGGACGGGATCGAGCTGTACTGACGTCCACGGCGTAAAGATTCACCAATAAAGTAGCCTGAATAAACACCTAAATCTATATTATTCTATCCCTGAAATCAAATTAAAAGTCATCCAAATGATCAAAGTAAAAAAGAAAAATAGGATCCAAATCGTCGGAGTGTGGCGAGTCAGCGTCGGAGAAAACCTTTGAAATCGTGGTTTGACCGAGTTGGACATTAAACAGCAGCCAAGAGGAGACAAGAGTTAGACCTTCGTAATCTATGCACATCACCACATTTCCAAGTCCAAAACTACTACTATACGACTTTGTTTCTCGGAATGCTTCTCCATTCACCATGGATTTCAATCCAGGAATCGACAGCATTCAAATCCAAAGACTCATCACCTCTCACTTATGACTTAGTTTTTTGTTTTTCTCTTAAATAAAATATGTAGCACATGTGAAATCATTGGCTTTCTAGATGAAATCACAAACATGTTGTGGATTCTCACTCTCTTCTCTTCTCTTTCTAGAGTTAGAGTTGGAGAATCCACCCAATTATGATGAAGTTGAGGAATGAGATTATACCTATTCAATGTTGACCATATGATAACACTAAAAACAATAAACAATATTTTTAAATATACATGACATAAAAAAAAATCTGATCCAAAAATTAATAAACAAATATAGCTCATATGAAAGATTTACATCATTTGACGCTTGTTTATCGACACTATGAAAAATATTACTGTATGAATAATGATAACCATAATAGAAAAAAAAATTCATTTTTATTTAATCCAAATCAAATCTAAAAATGATAATTTTTTCACCAACTCCTAAAGTGTTTTTTTTTAAAATAAAATTAGATATGGTATTTATAAAATCGTTATTAGTCTATTTTTTCAATAAATTATTATAAATGAAGAATTCCAATAAATAAAACCAAGAGGACACAGTGGAGAGTGAGTATAAAGCCCACGGCCCAATATGACATGGCCCAATGTTTGGGTTGCTCACGAAGCAAGTCACAGTTACTCATGATTGTTAACATGACACACAGCCTATCGAACGGTTCAAATCGGTGAACCGACTTGGAACATAAATTGGCCCAACTCCATTCGATTCGGGTCCGGTTCAATTAAGTTGGGTCCAACGGCGGCCGCTTTATGATGTTCCTCCAGAACTTAGACTCTACGTAGATCTCCCAATGAAAGATGAAAGCGTGGCGTCGTACTCAACGGGTTAATCGCGGGAGTGGTTTTGTTAAAGTGGTGTAGTGAGAACAGCGCAAACTCAATTCTCCCCGATAAAGGGGTCCGTGCAATGTGCCACGCTGTCTAGGGTTTATCTTGTTCTGCAATCTTCTTCTCCGCTTCCAAAGGAGGAAGCTTGAGGGGTGGGTGGCATCTCTCCTTGCCCTTGCAAGGAAGCTGTTTTCCTTATCTGACGCGATTTTGTCTCTTTTTTAGTGATTTTCCTGTTATGCATTCTTGCATTCCGTCCTGATTCCTAGTTTTCGTGCTTTCTTTACCCAAAATTCGAGAAAGATTTGGGGTTTTTTTTACCATGGGCTTTCCTCGATCCACCAAGGATGGCTCACGCCAAATTCCCTGTTTCGTGGTCAGATCTGTGTCTGTTTCAAGGTTTCGTGCCTTTTTTGGTCTAACATTCGAGCAAAGTTTGATGCCGCAACCATTTTTGTCATTGATGACCCCATTTTAGGTTTTCGTGGAGTCATTGCAACACCCATGGCGTCGCTGCAGCTTTCTGGACCTCGAATCACCGCCGCCAAGAGGTCTTTGACGCACTTCGATGGGTCCCGCCTTTCGTCATCCACATTCAGGCTTTCTTCCTCCGTAGGAGCTTGTGGAGTTGCAGTAGACCGGAGGTGTTTCCGGGGACTTGTCGTGAAGGCCTCTGCGGTTGTTGCTCCGAAGGTATGGAAGCGATTTTAGATTGAGTTGCTCAGCGGCTAGGTGCGTTTCTCAATATGTCTGACTAGTTTGATTGCATTCATTCGTTGAAAGATCTGATCTTTGGATACTTGGAAATCGCAAGCTGGTATACTAAATCTGAATGAATTTGCCTGCAACTTCTCTTCAGATTCACTATGTTCTGACATCAACTTCTATCATTTTTGCTTGTTTGAATATCTATTTATGTAGTTTCCTGGCATTTAAGAGTCTATCTACTAGTTGGCATTCAAAAGTATGGAATAAGTTTAGTAATTATTAGCTTTATTTGCTCTATGTTATGCTGACAGTGTTCTTTACTTTTCAGTACACTTCCATCAAGCCTCTGGGGGATAGAGTGCTGGTTAAGATCAATACATCTGAGGAGGTTACTGTTGGCGGAATATTGCTACCATCAACTGCTCAGTCAAAACCTCAAGCAGGCGAAGTAGTTGCTCTTGGAGAAGGAAGAACCATTGGCAACAACAAAGTTCAAGTCAGTATTGAGGTAGCCTCATCTCTCTATTTGACTCTGTATCTGTTAATTGAGTCATAACAGCTAATGAGGTGTGCTGTTGCTACTCTCCAAGTTTGTTTGTGCTCATCAAACTTTAATTTACGTGAATTTCAAACTCAAAAGTTTTATGTGAAACAAAATAATAAAGATAAATAACTAAGATTAATGTTTTGGCGTACTCAACCGGCATGGTTGTTGCTGTTATTGCTAACATGTGCATGATCACCGTTGTCCAATTTGATAATTTTCATCTAAAAAGTGTTTTACTATGCATTGAATTGCAGCAGTCAATTTGCCAAGATATGCATTATGAATACCTGCCTTAGAAACTAATGATATGCACTTGGAAAGGAGGGTAAAATTCACTAAATGCCTAATGTCAAAATTATTTTGTTCATGTAGACGGGATCGCAAGTTGTATACACAAAGTATTCAGGCACAGAATTGGAATTCAATGGATCTAATCACATCATCCTGAAGGAGGATGATGTTGTAGGTATTCTCGAGGCTGAAGACGTCAAGGATCTAAAGCCACTGAATGACCGTGTTCTAATAAAGGTTTGGCTGTAAATCTTAAATACCTGCAAGCTTTTCCATTTCTATGTTGAAATTGCTAATATTTATGGTTGACTAGTTGATTTAAGTATGATGTACTTGAAATTTCCGAAATATTTTCCTATTTAACATCATGTATGTATTCATTGTGGGAAAGAATTTTTCGGCTTTTGCCTCAGGTTGCAGAAGCTGAGGAGAAGACTGCTGGTGGTTTGCTCTTGACAGAGGCAAGCAAGGAGAAGCCTTCCATCGGAACGGTGAACATCTGAATATCTTTATACCCTTTTCTCCTCCTCTACAAGAAATATATACACCCACCCACAATGGCAGAAGTCTCTGTGGATACTATTAGTGCTACCAGTTGCGCCATGAAACGTGCTTCCTGCAATTTGTATTATTCATAGCTTAGTAAAATTGCAGCATGTTCTTCTTGTAGAAGCTATTAATCTTTCTCGGTTTTATACAAGTTCGTGCCCGATCATGATCATGTCCTGGCACAGGTTATCGCGGTCGGCCCTGGTCCCCTGGATGGGGAGGGTAACAGGAAGCCATTGACCGCGAGCCCCGGCAGCACGGTGCTGTACTCCAAGTACGCTGGAAACGAGTTCAAAAGTGCCGATGGCTCCCTTTATGTTGTTCTGAGAGCATCTGATGTGATGGCAGTTCTCTCTTGAGATGTGTGTGCGCGTGAGCCCTATGAAACCTGTTCTTGGCAGGGTTTCAAATGGACGGAGGTGAACTGTTGCATGATTTTTGTAATGACAATAATTGCTCTTTAAATTGCAAGTTTTGAGCTCTGTTTATGCTGGCTGGTGATTGTTGCAATTTGGCATTATGTTTCATGCTTTCCTTTTTGAAAGGAAAGAATTAGTTTACTGGTGAAATATTTTTTTTTTAATTAAGAAAAAACTTGAAAAAACAATGAGTTGCGTGCTGTCATATATCACTTGAAATTGTTTATATTGATAAATAAATATCAAAAAAATTAATTTATTATCATTATTATTAAGCATCAGGATTTTTTTTATTTGAATTCCATTTGATTGTGATTAATTGTTGAAATTCTTGAAACATGTTTTTTATTCAAATCCATTTAAAATACGAAAAAAAAAAGTGTTCAAAACTCGGTTTAATCGGCTGATGATATATGCCGATCGGAGAACACAAAAGAAAATAGACATAATTATATTTTAATTAAAATTTGTAGAAACATATAGACGCCAAACTTCCCCCAAACCGTTAATGGGGATCTCATTGCGATAAAGATACGGAGGAGGGTTCAACACAATCCAGATTTTTGACCAACTATCCTTCGCCGCGTATACGACACATTGAGCCAGAAACTGACACGTAAACAGAAGAACTTATAAACTGCCGTTCTCTGTTACGACAGACACAGCGAAGCACCTATGAAATGCTTCTGTTCATCAACATTCTTGACGGTTACACACGAAGCTGTGTTGCCTACGAATAAACCCTATCCGATTTAAGTTATGTTGCTTTTCCTCTGTGAGATCTATCGAAAGTTAATGAATTATGTTGGAGATGGTCGCACCTATATGAGAAATGAAGTTGAAATTAGTGTCCATTGTGGAGTAGTTAGTAACACACCCTACATTAAACTAATAATCAAGTTGAGAAAGGTCAATTTATCATCTAAATGGCAAAAGAATATCCTTACCACCATACCAAAACTTTTCTTCTAAAACACAAAAAATCGATCCAATATTTCCTGAGTATATTTGCTTTCATATCTGATAAGGTAAAGGGACTATATTTAATTTGGTTTTCTTAATGAAAACATGTAATCGTCTCAAATCGAGCATCAATTGATTTCTTTCGAGCATTTTCTGTCTAAATTATCAAGACTAACTAATCCATCAATTTCGTTTGACTCAAATCACTGATCAAAATATTTAAATTAAAATTAATAATAATATACTCATCAGATTCTTATAAGTTAATCTTAATCTTGTTGAATGAACGTGATATTTTGTAACACTTTGTGCATAGTCTTTCAGATACAATGCAAAAAAAACATAAAAGTTGCCTTCAGATTCAGTTGGAAATGAGCATTCAGCAGTACATTATACAGGAGTACAGAACCAGTATTGTTTTTTATCTAAAACAAACTAAGATAGATAGATCGATAAGCTTAACTGTTTAAAATGTAAGATTATTACAGCTACAAACAACAGGAGAAAAAGATATATATACTTGAGCATTCTAACTAATTAGACCAGACGTGGATCAAACCTTGCTTGTTGCCGGTGTAGATCTCATTCCTATCCTCATCGTAGAAGAGGGCAGTGACATCCTCGAGTGCTTCTCTGATGGTGCTCCGGATGGTAGACCGGCTGTTGTCTCCTCGCTTGCGAGGCGTGATCTGGAGTGCAGGATCAAGTGGACATATCTTTGCGATGCACTTACCAGTAAGGATGTTGCTCATGTTGATAGAACCGACAGTAGGCACTATCGGGATTGCAACAGGGAAAAAGATCATCACATAGTAATGTCAGACATGTGAAGCCTAAAAAATTTGTAGTTTGACTGGAACAAGCAAGCAACATACCTTCTCCCTCCTCGTCGCATCCATCTTCAGCCTTGCAGTAAGAGATTATCAGGTCCTGGTCGCTGGTTATGTAAATGTTGTTGGTATTACAATCTGGGTGCCACAGTAGGTGGTCCTCAAATGAGGTGACAAGCTCTCCACGAAAATTCCAGACTGCCACTGTCCTATTTCTGAATGTCAAGAAAAGGTGGTTCTCATAGAGGAAGATGAATGCAGAAGGTGTCATAAACTCGGTCCTGCTAACTTCAATGAGATTTGAATTCCTCACCTGCTTCCAAGTCAACAATACGTTAAAGATAAATGAACAATTTTTTGAAAAAGGAAAAGAAAGGAACAAGAGGAAAGGATTTTTAGCAGCCTACATCAAGAATCTGCAGATTCTCATTTTCTTGCTTAACCAGGAGCTTCTCATTGAATTGTTCAATGAAGTCGACCTTCTTGTTGCGATGTAACAAGTGATTAAAAGATTTCAAAACTTTTCCATCTTCAATTGACAGTATTTTTAATGGTACATGGCTCTGAGTTCTTTGGTATATCAGCAGCATGATGCCAGGGCTGTCATCAGCAATGGTAGCATGGGAGATCAAATATGGAAGGAATTGATCACTAAAATATTGTAATGGACATTAACTATTTGAACATAAGGAAAACCTATAACCTTATTTTGATCTCCTGTATATCCTTGTCGCATATGGAGTACAGAAATGAATAGTTTTTCAGGTCAAAAACTTTGTAAGTGCTGCAAGATTGAAACAAATGACATCAAAATGACGAACTAAATGAACATGGCACAAGACAAAGATAGTGGCTCACCCATCCTGGGCTGAATAGGTCAGTACTTTGCCATTCACATCATCAAATTCGACAAAACCAGGCCATTTCAGGGATTCAGATTCAAAAAGAGGATACCCAGCATCTAACTGATTTCTCCTGATATATCTGCAACAGTTTGACATGGAGTCATCAGTCTTTTATGTGCAAATAACACAAAATGGATTGTCAGAATCAAATTGATTTTCCTAATTTATCTGAGAGTTTCCCTAGAGTCATTAGGTATGTAAAAGCTAATCATAAATAACAAAAGATAAGCCCCATAAAATGTTTCAGTCCTATGGAACCACAAGATGGATCCCAGAAGTCAATATAAGGAACACATGTTGCGGTCAACTTCCCTGACCAAAGCTAAAAAACACTGGTTACGTTATGATAAATATTTTAACAAGTCATCAACAGACCAAGATATTTATGAACTCGACCAGTATGAGTTGTATCATGAACAGGAATTTTGGCTCAATTTGGGTATCAAACAACTGAAGAAGTCCCAATCTTGTATTCTCATTTTTACAACTTCTATGTCATATTCATTTTAAACAAACCTTAGCAGTATGTTATATTGTCTTTTTACTAGCATTAAGAGATTCCAAAGGAGAAACAAGCAAACTGAGAGAAGTTCTTGACAATCAAGTTGATTTGCATAAATCAAGCTTCTTACTCTATTGGAGTTGTCCTGCATTTCAAGGAACTGAAATGATCTGATGCATAAACAGACACCGTGATAAGAGAATCATTATTCTTGTTATAAAATAAGCTTCTAATCACTTCATCAGGGCTTATGTTCAAGAAGCATATTCTTTTGTTTGTTGCTGTCAACAAAGAGAAAACAGAAGTCAATGACAATTAGAAAGACAAAAAATTAAGCTATGAAGTGTATAGGGCAGACTTACTTCTACTAAAAGCGGCACAAAGACCTGATTGAGCAAGAGCAAATATTACATCTTTTGCAGCAACAATCTCAATAATTTTTGACCTCTTCTTCAGAAATTGTAATTTCAGAAACCAATGGACGTTGTGATCATAGGTGTCAAACTCTTCCTGTTCTACCCAAGAAAGATATGACTTAGAAACATCAATAAAGTAGTAGAAATCCAACATGGGAAACTTAAGATTTTGTAGGGTTAAGAGTGAGTCGACAGAGAATGGATATTGGTATATCGACATTCAGTTCTGTTCAACGATATAGAGAGACAAACAAGACAGAAGATGAAAAGACTAAGCTACAAATTTACATGGACCATACATAAAATCGCTTTGTTGAGGCACTGGATATGTATGTGTGTGTGCATGTGTGATATATTTTTATCCAACTCCATTATTTATTAGAAAAATAAATTGTCAATTACTTACAAATATGGTTTGTGTGACAACTGACAACTGTACTAATATTAAATAACTACCAACATTAACTCATTAATAACATTTCACGAACGTGAGGCTGGAAAACAGAGGGGCCTAGAGAAAGAAAGATGAGAAACAGAGAACTATAAATACACAGAGAAATCATTCAAGAGATTAGATTAATATAGGTACAGCTATCTTATATTCTGATACCTGAAAAAAATAGGACTCAGACCATATTCACATCCACATTTGGAAAGTTCCAAATGGCAGATTTGGATGTAGACCATAATAAGTAAGACAAGCATCTTTACTAATTATAAGAAAGAAACAGCCAAAGGTGTCAAAAATTGGAATCAATAGAGTACTGGAAGGCAGGCCTAATGGCCCGTACACTCAGTTCCAATGGTTAAAGCTGTGACCACACTATGCAGTAAGGCCAGTATGAACTGAAACAGAGACAAAACTAATAGATTGCATACCAGTTCACAGTCAAACCAGTAACTATTGACCTGTACCAACCGGTATGTAAGTGCTTTTAAACTTGGATCACTAACAAATTCACATCAATAATCCATCCGAGGCATAAGGAAAACACTATCAGAATCTTAACTTCTGGTTGCATACAACCCATGAAGCAAACCAGGATGATGGCTAGTAAATAGCCAATGTACATGAGGAAGCATTAAGCAGCATATAGATGAAAATGAATAGGAAGATAATTGGCATACGGAACAAAAAGAGAGGAAAGAAATAGCACAGTTTTGACAATTTAACTGTAAGTTATCATGCTGAACTAATAAATTAGTGTCTTATTGATCATTTATCCTAAAGTTGGTTTCCACGAATAGCAACACTTCATTAAAGTTTCCAAAAATATGACATGATGGTTAGTCCAGGTGTAAGGAACAAAATTAACATGTTTTCTCCCTCATTCCAGAATTAACTAAAGGCCCTGTTAGACGACAGAGAAAGCTTTTGAACCATGCAAACACATCAATGTGACAGATCCATGTTCATTGGTCAAGCACCAACTTAATTGTACTATTCCTAAATATTTGAAAATATGCTAGCTTATATCCCTCATCAACAGCTTGCATGGGTTGCACTTTCTATTGCCATCACCTTTTTCCATATGACCCCCTAAGGTGGAGTTCTTGCACAAAATAACTCTCCTGGTTGGCACTTGAAGTTCGGAACCATAATCATGATGATTTTGCATTTACCACAATATTTCCATGGGTTAAGAAATATTTATCATAATATGTTCCATGGGTAAGATGATGATATTTTATCATGTTCCATGAGAACAGATTCTAGTCCGCTAAACATGCATTTAAAACAACAAATGACTACATTGGTATGCCATAATTACCCGGAACATTGCAATTCTCAATCAATTCTACCTGAATAATTGGATCCACAAGGGGCTTCGCATGTAAACAAGCTAAACATCAAAATTGGAGCTTCGCATGTAGGCACGGACCCCAAATTCACATACCAATCTCTCACTGTTCCATAATAACTACGATCCAAAAAGCTCTTAATAAAGTGATGGAAAACCTAACTGGAAGCAACATTTACTTGATTCAATTGAATTACGAAATGTCAACCTCAGAAAAGAGTGATCTTTTGCAACAATCGAGTAGCCAACACGCCACCAGGACCTCAAACAGGAGTTCAAAACCCTAGAAAGCTGAAAGCGGCATCAAAGCAAAGCGAGGCGGAAGGATTCGAACCTGGAGCTGGATATTCCGAAACTTCTCAGGTGCGCCAGTCGCGGTGCCGCGGGCCAACCGAGGGAACCCGCCGATCTCGCGGCGCTGGAGCTTCCTGACGGAGTTGGGGCACTCCCGCTCCCGGCGCTTCCGGTCCGAGCACTCCCCAGGAATCAACTCCCTCCCTTTCTTCCTCGCCGTCACCCGGAGCCGGAGCCTCAGCGTCGACTTCTTATGGTTCTCCATCGTCCCCTCTCTCTTTCTCTCTATCGCCTTCCTTCGCCGACACCGCCTCCGGCGCCGACGGCGAGAAACACGGGAGGAAAGCGCCGGAGACTGTGAGCTCAAGGAAAGACAGGGGAAGCGCGCGAGGCCAGGCTTAGGGTTAGGGTTCAGAGCTCCATGGTGGGAGGGAGGAAGAGAGACGCAGCTGCTTCTCTCTTATTTCTTCCTTATTGTTGTGTCCAAGTGCTAAGAGACTGCAATTTTGCTCAAATTCCTCAAAATAGTTTATAATTTGGATAATTTACTTAAAAAACCCTCAAGTAAATAAAATATTTTTACACGATGATATCTCTATATTTAATTTTCTCGAAAATATTTTTAAACAAACTTAATAATATCTTTGAATCGGGTTATTTCAAGTTTGATCGATCCATGAGTTGGTTCGATCTAATTCATATCCTATCGATCGGGTCGAACCCCTTTCGATCGAGTGAGGTCTCTTAGATTTAAGTTACACTCATTCATATAACCAATTAAAATATATTAATTTTATATAAATTTATTCTATATTTATTATAAAATTAAAGAATACTAATTTTTTTGTTACTTATAAATAAATTATAGTAGAGTTCTCAAATTTTTGATTATTATATATCCTAAAATTATCTAAAAATAAAAAAATTATTAATATTAAAACAAGTTATGTACGCTAAGTTAACTAATTTTTATTTTGAACATAACTAAATCAATATAGAAAATATAGAATTTTATGATAACTTTAAGATAATTTTATCTATAAATTAATATATTTTAATATATTTTATGAATGAGTATGACTTGAGTATACTGATTTTTTTTGAATAATTTATGATAATTTTGTATAAAAATTAATATAATTTTAATGACAACTCAAGTTTTTTAATTTTATGATGATTTAAGATAATTTTATATAGAAACATATATATTTTTAATATATTATGTTAATGAATATAACTCGAGTATATCTTAAATGTAACTCAAAGGAGACTCACCGAAGTATAATAACTTTTATATATAAACTATAAGGAAGAAGAGGAAGGGAGGGAGCACCGAATGAGTACAAGAAAAAAGAGGATGAAAAAGAAAGATGAACCAGGTGGACAAGGGAAAGAGGGAGATAGTGAGGGAAGAGTGGGAGAAGCCGAATGTGCCGGAGAAAGCCAAGATGAAAGGTAAGGAGGTGACAATAAAATGGAGTGGAAGGAGGTGGAGGTAAAGGTGAAGTTGGAGGATGAATAGGGGTGAGGGAGGTGGATGAGGAAGAGGAGTAAAAGAAGGTAGAGGTGAAAAGGGAAGCTAAGAGAGAGGGGGAGGAGGCGACGATAGAATTGGAAGAAGAGGAAACTACGAGGAAGGATAATGAGGCAATAGTAAAAGTGGAGTAAGCGGAGACAAGATGGAAGTGAAGTGGAAGGATGAGGGGTGAGGGAGGTGGACGAGGGAGAGGGGGAGGAGTAGGAAAAGGTAGAGAAGAAGAGGAAGCTAAGGAAGATGGTGGAGTGTGAGGAGGAAACTAAAGAGAAAGATAACGAAGCGATAATGAAGATGAAGTAGAAGGAAGTGGAGGAGGTAGAGGTAAAGTTAGAGGATGATGAGGGTTGAGGTAGAGGTAAAGTTGAGGATGACGAGGGTTGAGGGAGGTGGATGAGGTTGATAGCAATTAAGATTTTCTTTAATAACAACTAAGATTTTTCTAACTACACGAGGAAATATTGTAGTTCTGTTGAGGACAATTTTTCCTCCTAACGTGTATAAATATAGAGCATCATATCAAACACATACATCTTCTTCTTCATATTTCATATCTAACATAGTATCAGAGCATCATATCACATTCTCTTCGACGACAACACCTCTGATCTCGCAGCCATTGCTGTTGCTACGGCACCCTTCTTATTCCATCAAGTCGACGCCAAGAAACCCTCTCTCCTTCTCGCTGTCCGACATCACCCCGCTGCCAGTTTTCTCCTCGTCTACAGTAGTTCATTCATCACCTGCGCCACCCTAGGTGGATATGTTGCCCCCTTCTTCATCTCCTTCGTCAACGCCTTCATTGACGTGTCCACCAATGCCGCCCACACCAAGCACATGCTTCAGCTCAATAATGGGCAAACATTCCTTTGCTACTCTTCATCGCTGCTGCAACTGTTGCAGTAAGGCAACTCGCTGCTCACGAGATTGAACTTTGCAGGCATCATCCGAACCCGAGACTTGACAACCTCCTCCAGGCTACAAAGTTCAATCGGAGAAGCGGTCAGTGAGTCGTGCATGCATCTCACAGATCCTTCCTTTCCCATCTCGATCGGTGATGATCATAGCTTCTTCCCCCTCTTCCATCTATCCAATAAAAATTACTTTCTCGTTTTTCACTTCAATCTCTTAAAACCAGTAGTATTATAACTCATTGTGATGCTTGTTTAAGCAATAAAAGTCATACTTTCTTTTGGAATCTCCTATATATCTTGCTTTAAACCTTTTGAAATTATTTATACTGATAATTGGGTCCTTGCCCCAATCACTACTTTTGACAAGTTTAGATTTTATATCATTTTCGTAGACTACCTTACCAAATATACATGGTTATACCCTCTCCACCATAAATATGAAGTTTTAACAATATTTTCCAACTTTAGAAGGTTGATCGAGAACTTCTTTTAGTCTACAATCAAAACAGTTTACTCTGATGGTGATGGTGAATATCAAACCCTCACATCTTGCCTCTCAGCTTGTGGTATACAATATCTTAAGTCACCCGCACATACTCCTTAACTAGTTGGTTTTCCTGAACGTAAACATCGACATATAGTTGAAACTGGTCTCACACTCCTCCATCAAGTGTTCATGCCTACAACCTTTTGGTTTACAGCCTTTCAAACTGTTGTCTACCTCATCAATCATATACTACTCCAATCCTCCATTACTAGTCACCATTTGAAAAACTATTTTACAAATCCCCAAACCTTCAAAACCTTAAAGTATTTGACTATTTATGTTATCCAAGACTACGTCCTTATGCCTCGCATAAGATAATATCAAGATCTAAGCCTTGTATTTTTATTGAATATTCTCTTGAACATAATGTCTTTCGATATTACGAACCCTAAACTCAAAAAGTTTTATATCACTTCATGTTATTTTTGTGGATTCTACATTTTTGTTTCAAAACCAGGAGTCTCCTACTGTGCACCCTACTTCAACAAATATACATCACTAGAGTACACCGTCGATCCTGTCAACCGAGTCTCCCACAACACCATTCAGTCCTTCTTCTCATGATCCACACTCTCTTCTTCTCCCAATTCAGCAGCTCCTCACCCCCTCTATGCTTCTCTCCCTTCTTCACAAGGTTCCCCTACTACTGAAATAATGCTCTTAGAAACACAACCACTACCTTTATCCTCTTCTGAGACTAGTGACATTGAAGTACATTTAACACGTGTCAGTACATCTCTACCGCCTATACCTACAATACAATATATAGCCCTTGAATATCCAATGACAACATGCTCCAAAAGTGGTATCTTTAAACCACGACAAGTCCTTAACTTACATGCTATCATAAAATTCTCGTTAGAGACCAATGAACCTACCATAATTACTCAAGCCCAAAAATCTCTATACTGACGTAAAGTTATGTGTGAAGAATATGATGCCCTCCTTCATAATTCTACATGAACCCTTGTACCCTCTCATCCCACACAAAATATCATGTGTAAGTGGGTCTTTCGAATTAAGCAGAACCCAAATGGATCCATTGCTAGATATAAAGCGCATCTAGTGGCCAAAGGGTTTCATCAACGTCCTGGTGTTGACTTCATAAAGATATTTAGTCTCATTATTAAACCCACAATAATCTGACTTATTCTGAGTTTGACCATCTCAAAATGTTGACATTTACGACAACTTGATGTTAACAATGCCTTTTTCATGGGACTCTAACTAAAGATGTCTTCATGCAGCAACCCCCTAGTTATTTATGGACTCCAAGAGCTTGGTGCATCGAACTTGGCTCGTTTTTGACATCAAATGACTTCATCAACTCCAAGTCTGATATCTCGTTATTTCTCTGTCACCAAGGTAGCAATACAATATATCTTCTAGTATATGTGGATGATATTATTATCATGGATAACAATTCTCTAGAAATCAAGGCATTCCTTAGGCATTTAGTAGATCGTTTCTCCCTAAAAAATCTAGGAACCTTGAGCTACTTTTTGGGAGTGGAAGCAACATACACATTTTCAGGACTCTTCCTATCACAAAAAAGTATATTCAAGATATATTATCAAAGACGAATATGTAAGACACAAAAGCGGTTACAACTTCTTTGTCTACTAGCGAGTCACTCAAACTATATGATGTACTTGGCTCCTTATAGTACTTATCTCTCACCCATCCAAATATCTCATTTGCGATCAATAAATTATCATAATTCATGCATTTGCCATCTACTATGCATTGGTCTGCAGTCAAACAAATCTTGTGATATCTTCACGGGACTCTCAATCATGGTCTCTTTTTTGTAAACACTCCCTCATTCATCTCTATGCCTCTGATTGGGCAAGAAATTTTGATGACAGAACATCCACGTCATGATATATTATCTTCCTCGGAGCTAATTCAATCAGTTGGAGTTCTAAGAAGCAAAAGACAGTCGCCCGATCTACAACTAAAGTGGAATACTGTGCCATTGCAACCACTGCTATAGAACTCAATTGGGTCACAAATTTACTCAAAGAACTTGACATCAACTCCACCTCTACTCTTACAATATATTGTGACAATGCCAGAGCCCTTTACTTATGTGCTAATCCAGTATTTTACTCACATGAAACACATAGCCATCAACTTTCACTTCGTGCGAGAACAAGTTGTCAGACATCTACGTGTTTCTCACGTACATACGGTTGATCAACTAGCAGACTCACTCACGAAGCCTCGCCCATAAATCATTTTCTATCGCATCGATCCAAGATCGACATCGAACACCATCTTACGGGGGCATGATAGCAGCTAAGATTTCCCTTGATAACCGTTAAGATTTCTCTAACAAATTGAGTTTAATTAAATCAAATGGAGTAGTTAGAATTTAATTAAATTTATCTCAAACAAATTGATTCAATCCTTTTATGATTTTAATAATAATATTTTGATTAAAAAAGTTAAATTACTAGGGGTCTTTTTCGATAAATTACCCTTATAATTTTTAATTTAG